GTGTAATCATTAAGTGTCGCGTTGTAGACACATTCTAATATTAAGAATCCAACCGAGTAGGACCCGGCGACAGGTAACAATACTTATCTTGATGTGAGGTGATAGTTCTCAGATCTATGTCTACGCGATCTGGATAGTCTAGTCCTATGACTACTATCTCGCTTGTGCCTATCTCCTAATTCTTCTTCTTAGTCCTCGCTTAGGACTTCATCTCTCCTTGTGGGAGGAAAGACAATTCTTGGGTTTCTTAAGATAAATCTTAAGGAGCGTAAAGGTAGGTTTTATAGATAATAACATAAAGGTAGGAAATAAACAAGAAGAACGTGTGAAGAGCTAGTACTAGGGGTCCTAGTGACCCTTTATATAGTAGCTCTTCACCTGGCATGACTCATACTTATGCGTCACGCGAACATTGTGACTCATAACTATGAGTCACACGAAATCCATCAGCCAACTCCTATGAGTTACTGCGCAACATGCCTAAACCCAATCAAAATATAATAACCAAGTCAGGTGCGCAACTCGCGTCACCTGAGTGAAACCCGTGACTTATAAGTATGAGTCATGTGCGAAAATCATAACATCAGGTGACTCACAACTGTGACTCACGAACAGGTAAACATAATAACCTATGGAGCACTAGTGTGCATCAGGTGACATCCCAATATACCTATAGCTCAGAATTGCGAGCTATGTAAAATCTGCTTTGCTTAGTTACAGTTTGTGACATACCCCTTTATATACTAAGGAAATCCTTCATGATCACTAATACAAAAGAAAACTCTTGGCATAGCGCGCAGCCGTGACTTTTCCCTCAGGTTCCGCCATCTTCCGTTGCGCGGCAACGCATCCCAAGCATTCAGCACAAAGGAAATCCAACCATGCAACCAAGAAAACCACTGCCAATATATGCAACGAAAAACCGATGCACGCTCCATCTACCTAGCTGGGTGGCCGTGACACTGCCAGGACCTTGTCCGTTACATACAGCTATATAATATTTTTTTTTCAGCCTGATGCATGTTTTAGCTAGATTGAATCATAAAGAAAATATAATATAAAGAGGTACACACACTACTTTATATATTATGAAAAATTCTTCTTAGCTACTAAAACAAAAGAAATCCTAGTCTACTGCACAGCCACTATCTTTCTATCAGTTTCTATTATACAATTACTCTTGCCAACCACCTATCTATGAAAATACAACTAATCTATATAGAAAATCCTTATATGTTAACCTTGCTCTACAACTATCCTAGTAACTATGATACAGCTCTTGTATATCAAAATATGCAAATTTCAGGAATCTAAATATGATCAAGATAGGTTTTCGTAGCGATTGTACTTCAATTATCATATTTCTAAATAACTAATATCTTCTTTCCAGCATCTCTCAAGATACTACCCCAAATGATGATTAAATCTGAAGTTGGTTTTGGGCTTTATTTCTGTCAAACAGGGAATTAAGAGCAAGATGAGGAGTTCTTTGAAATTCAGTAAGTTCAAATCTCTCTGGCTCTCCTAGTTTTAATCCTATTTAAAAAAATTTACTAGTTAAGTGAAACAACTGCTAAGAATCCTACCCAATAGGACCGAGCGGCAGGTAACGATACTTCTCTGGGTGTAAGGTAATAGCTCTTAGACCTTTGCCTACACGATCGTAATAGTCTAGTCTGATGACTACTATATTGTTCGCACCTATCTCCTTATTCTTTTCTTCAGTCCTCGCTTAGGACTAAATCTCTTCCCGTGGGAGGAAAGACAAATCTTGAGTTTCTGAAGATAAATCTTAAAGAGCGTAATTGTAGGTTTTATTGATGATAACTTAAAGGTAGGAAATAAACTAGAAGAACGTGTGAAGAGCTAATACTAGGGGTCCTAGTGACCCTTTATATAGTAGCTCTTCACCTGGCATGACTCATACTTATGCATCACATGAACCTTATGACTCATAACTATGAGTCACACGAAATCCATCAGCTGACTCCTATGAGTCGCTGCGCAACATACCTAAAACCAATCAAAATATAATAACCAAGTCAGGTGCGCAACTCGTGTCACCTGCGTGAAACCCATGAGTTATAAGTATGAGTCATGTGCGAAAATCATAACATCATGTAACTCACAACTGTGAGTCTTGAACAGGTAAACATAATAACCTATGGCGCACTAGTGTGCGTCATGTGAAATCCCAACATACCTATAGCTCGGAATTGCGAGCTATGTAGAATCTGCTTTGCTTAGTCACAGTTTGTGACAACAACCTAGATTATTTTGTCCCCACCCTATAGAACCCAAGCCCTACAACAAATCCATTTGAATTCTCCTTTTAAAATTTTACAACTAAATAGTTCTCATACTATGATACTTCTCTTCAACTGTTCAGGTCACATGCCAGTATCTCTTACCTTACAATTTATCCAGCCAAGTAAAATATCCATATACCCAAACCATATTCTACCAATCATGGATACCCCAATAAGAATGACTTTGGACAAAGGAGTAGTACTTGACATACATGATTTCAAGATAAGACTTATTGTAAAATGGAGGTTAATGGTAACCTTACTTCACAAATGTATTTCACAGTACAGTCTTATTAGGCTTAATACCTAGCTCTTAAGTAATGTTGACGGGACACATATGGCAGTGTTTAGCATCTGAAATAGCTAAGGCTACTAGCTGTCATCCTCATAGGAATGTGACTCTTTTTTTGTTGAGTTGTTGGCTGAACCCTGTACATACTCAACCTACTGTCAATATTGCTAACGTCTGATTGTCCACTATTTGTTGAAATGTCCATCCAGCTGAGAACCTCAAGGCATGGATTGTGCATCATTGTTTATAGGTAAGGTTACCCATTTTTGCTGTTGCCTGGTATCAGATGCTGGAATTTGTCCTTCCTTCCCTTCCTTAAGTACCTCTGATGTTCTTACAGCCAACGAGTGCCCAGCTCTGCACTGGCTTTGCACTGACTTTGCACTGACTTTGCACTGACGGTTTATCTTCGATTTCGCGATTTTTTTGAACGGAGGCTGTACAAGTATCGGCACTCGTGTTTTTGAAGATGATGGTAAGTTGATTATCCTAGGCCATATCCTCCGAAAACGGGGGGGGTATGTTTTGCGTTGGCCCTCTAATACGCACGGTTTTTTCCCCTATACTTATGGGCTAGGGAAAGTTCATAGCAGCGGCATGTAAACTTGGCTTCGTAGAGCACTTCGATAGTGACCCGATGGCAGGGGGGACAGCTGGCTTGCTGATTGGCTGCTGGCCGACAGGCCCGGGACTTGTAATAAGTGACATATTCATTTATGATCTTATCTCCGCCGGACTATCTTCGATTGCAGTTTGGACCAGGGTTAACCTTTACTTATAAGTAGAAACCCCGATACTTCTCTTCGACCTGATCCGGCGGGGGGTGGCGTGCTCAATTATGTTTCCCCGGAACTACTTGAACCTCGACTCGACGGGTAAAGATCACAAGCTTTGTTCCAGATTGATACAGGAGGATCGCAATGCCCAATACTTGGCGTCTGTGCAGATTGAGAGGGTTGGGAGAGTGGATAGATAGGGGGTAGTGATGTCAGTATGAGAGTTTATTTTACTACTCGGGCGCGGCAGTGGTTGAGGTTTGTTCATTTGGCCGCTCCACTAGCTTAGATATCCGAATCTAGATCGTGGGCGCCAGAGATCGAGTGCTTCTTGGTGATCCCGGAAGGTTGTGTTCTGGGATGGTCAGCTAGTAATACCGTACGACCTTTTTCGCAATAGACAGAAGGAAGTGGATTGGGGAATAGGACGTGCCAGAGCAGGGAAGGGAAGCAATGTCCTACGGGTACCTATCCTATCTTAAACGCCATGGGAGTACTCTAGATATGTGCAGGGTGGTGGGTGGGAGTCCTGTGGCACAGCATATAGACTGTCCGCCCCCACTCAATCATCGATTTTCGATGCTCGATGTTTTGCTTTTTCGGGGATAGTTGTTCAACGAACCAGCAATTTATGTGAGCTACTGTGCCGGTGTTCGATTGTGACACTTGGCCGAGGTTTATACCTGCGAGTTCTTCTATCGTATAAGTTCGCCTCTTCCAGGTCTATACGGCGCCTCTGGGGTTGGGCTTGTCATCCCCAAAGAATCTAGGGGTGGAGGATCATTGAACAACCTAAACCTTGTGTCTCGGGGCATTGAGTGCAATGTCCCTGTGGCACTTTAGTTTCTGGGTGGAGATGAACCGACCCTCACGACCGATCACTCACGATAAACGGGGACAAACGTTTCAACTTTTTATCTGGGTTTTCTGTTTTTTTTCTTTTTTTCTTTTTTCCGCCATTTTTGGTGTTTTAACAAAATTTGACCCCCCACTCGTTATCCTCCTTCTCCAAAATTATGCAGCATACAAGATACGATGGACCAAGATCGAAGAAAGAGATACCCCCTACAACAACCTAACAAGCCATCCCTTCCAAAGAGAAATGAGAAACAATTTTTTTCCAAGCAACCAAGTTATTTTGCCGGCCCATCTTCGTCAATATAGAGGATGGGACTGCAGGCAAACTTAGTCGCAGTTTCGGGAGCAATTTTCGCCAAATTTGCAACCCTGGGGAGTATTGTGGATTTTACGTATATCCCCCCGCACCTCCGCCACGGCCACCACGACCACCACGACCACCACGTCCACCACGACCGCCACGACCACCACCGTCCCCACGGCCGCCGCCACCGCGTCCTCCTTGGTCACCTCCCCGGCCACCACCGCGGCCACCACCGCCACCTCTGGGTCGATCGGGAAGTATGAATGGTCGCTGGCCGGAGCCATCGATGTCGTGACTGAACCTACACCTTTCGCCGAAAGAACAGCTGCCCGAATTTTGAAAGCTGCGACACACACCACCTCCTCCACCTCCTCCACCTCCACCCCCACCTCCACCACCGCGGCCGAAGCCGGCGAAGCCGGCGGATTGTGGTACTGTAGACTGGGTTCCGTCCCAGAATACTTCGTAAATATCACACGTGTAGCCTTTACCATAATCGTCGAACCTTAGGTCATCTAGGAGGTTCCCCTGAGTGTCGAACATCCATCGTGGAAGGTCAATATTAAGCTTTTCTACCCAGAAGGGGATTGGATAAGTTCGTGGAGGAGGGATATCCCAGCCTTTGGTCGATGCGGTTTTGGGAGCAGGGCGTAATTCTTTAATCTGTTTTATCCAGGCTTCGGAAATGATTTCGGTCGGTTCGCCCCCAGAGCCTCCTCTTCCGCCTCGGCCTGATTTTTGCATGTCTGTCCTGCGGAGTTCAAAGGGGACAGAATCGGTTGGAAGAGTTTGGCTTAGGGCGATTCTGTCAAATGATGAATTGTGGGGTTAGCGGGTTTTTGACCACGCAAAAAGTAGAAAGTGGGGTCTGAGGATAATGCCTTTTTTATTTTTTTTTATTTATTTTTAACTCTTCCCTCCCGTAAGTTCGATTTGGTTCAAAGTTGGCGAGCGAACCGAGGATTGCTGAGTTTTTTTCTCTCTCCTTCTCTTTCCCCTTCCCCGAACTACCCCTCTTTTTATAGGAGCAGTAGGAAGGGGGAAGGGGGGAAGTAGCGGAGGGCGGGGGCGATGAATAAGTGGTATACTATGTCGGGGCAATTGTGTGCGAAAAAACGGTACCGGTACTTGTTTGTCTCTGAAGGGACTGTGATTACTGATTACGGCAGTACAGTACGACGAACGGTTCTCCTGCGCTGGATAATGCTCAAGCACACTGCACGGTTCATTTGCGAAGCGGAAGGGAAATCTCTCGTGCAGCCTCCCGAATGCCTGGAAGCAGGCTGCCCATTGGATACCGGTAATTTATTTATCTTGATTTCATTCATTATTCGTGCCCCTTATTTAAAATAACGGACAAGACAAGGAAAAGTTGACTTGTCGGCCTTCCATTCGGAGTTTGAATTGCGGGACCCAGCCTGCCCCAGCAAGTGCCATGTTGGCATCGATTGGTACGATACTGGAATATACTCTACTCTACTCCAGCGTGTAGTGTCCGTCTGCGCGTTGTTTCGAGAGGGGTAATGGGGAAGATTTATGCTCATGGTTGGGGTAGCTGTGTGTCCCATATCTTACGTGTTGGATGGATCCGACGGTCATCTCACTCTCTCTGCCTTCCCCCGCCAGGAGAAGAAGGGGAGGGGGGGTGGGTGGGGAGATAGGAAGAGGGGTTGAGAAGTGCTCTGCCTGGGGCAGGTGAGGGGTGAGTGAGGAAAGAGCCTCATGCTTCTACCGCACTGTACCATACTGACTAGCCCTATACCGGCACAGTGTGCCGTACCGTACCACACCGTACGATACAGTACTGTACCGGTACAGCACCCCTACGGAAGCCTTGGGACAACACTCACCCATTTGAAGAGACGCGTTTTTTAGCGGTAGCCCAATATGTCTTGCCTTATGTATAGGCAATTGTGTTGGATTCCAAGGGCTTCCGCAACCTCCAAATCATGCCTAAGATTTCTACTTGTACTATACTGTACGGCACTGTATCCATTTGGACCCGGGCACTTTTGTCCCCTCTAATCCGTTAAGATGCTGCATATAGGTAGGACTTCCCCCCTGTGCCGCTTGCTTAGAGCAAGGGATCCTGGGCCAATGCCATATTCCAATATCATAGTACAACGGATTACGAAAGGACAGCGGAGCCAATTCTCCAATACCACTCCGTAGGCATATATACGAGCTCCCCATTTGTTTGGTTGCCCGATTGCTTGGATGCGTGCCTGCGCACCGGTATGATGCGTGGTGTATTGGGTTCCGTGGGTAGCGGGATCTACGGTATGTTCAAACTTGGAGATCCGGATCTCAGGGAGGGGAAATTTTAAGCTGAGCACACCATCCAGTATCTACCATGTGCATCATCACCATCACCACCTCAGAAGGGAAGGAAAAAACGGATCAAAAAATAGAAAAAGAAAAACAAGAAGGAGAATCTGGCAAGCTGTTCATGGCCGATACCGACTGGAGAAACAGAACATGTTGGGACAACGAGCACTGTCCGATTGCCGTCAAGTTCGAAACCGAACACTTTCTGCGACGTCGTGTTTTGAAATGTCTGCGGGGATCAAGCTGAAAACCCCACGTTTGGTTGCTTCGCGTGGGGTAGGGCATGGAGTAAGTGCCGAAAGGATTTCTATTCTCTCCGGAATCGTTCCTTCTTCATTGTCCCTTCTCTTCTTCAAGACTTGTGGATATGCAACTGAGAGCAACCCATTTGCTTCCAGACTGATTTCACGATGGAATCAGGGCCACCCTCTCAAACAGCACCGATTTCAAAAGATAGCCAAAGCATTATCAAACAATAGTGCAATCATGTGCCACCATCGGTTCAGATTTGCTCGTCGTGTCGATTATCAACTGGAACGGAGCAACGCCCTGGTAGGTCACCATACGGAGTCCCAGAAACCACCGGATACGTACCCGAGCCTACGAGTGATTTGTGTTACAGCACGTTGCAGTACGATTTTGCACCACCCCTCACTTGTGAAATTAATACTCCAGTACTGCAGTGCGGGAAAAGGGGATTTCACGACTAACTTATGTCCTGAGGTTGTGTAAGGATCGTTGCCCAGTTGGAAATAGGTAATCCCTGGCCCGGGAGCCAGACTGCTCGAACCTCGCGCCTTCAATCGAACTCGCTTCAAACTTAGCAAGGGGAAACCTTCGGCAAACATATTCTGACCTGTCAAGTCTACAGCTCATTTTTTTTTCTTTCCAAATTCCTCCTCCCGAAACGCCACGACAGGTTTCTGCAATTGCTGTTTATTGGCTGTGTTTTTTGTTTGGCCATTTCCTCCCCCCTCCCGCTTCCCCCGCTCCCTAGATTCGTGTTACTTGTTTGTCAGTGGGGGTTGGCTTAGCGGAGGGAGAGATATTGAGAATGTGGGATAGGATGTCATGACATTTAGAGCGCATATATGCGGGGTGTAAAATCGGAGAACCGACCATGTGCTCGGGCCTTCCTTGGAAATGGCCTGTGGGGGAGATGGAGGGACTGTTACTAGTGTTGGGTAGGGGAGTTGGTACTCCCTTTTCACATATTACAAAGCTTGCCTTTAACATCTCATCATGTTTTCGTAATTGCCAATAGTAGCATATCTCGCGGGGCTGCAGCGTGATCCATAACCAGTGGTGAGCCCAGCTGTCGATTCCTCAAGCTAATTTCACGCATCTCTGAAGTTGGCCAGTTGTCTGTAATAACATTACCCTTCCCGGTCCTGACTGTCACGATTTCTGCAGGCGAATGTGGAGTTTGCCACAATTCGCTGAGGGTATAACCCGCAGTGGTCCGTTGTCACCGTACAGGTGTGATGCCGGCGTAATAGTGAAAAGTGGAAAAAAAATTAGGCCGCCCAGTACTGTATGCAGGCGCCGAACTCGGTACCGTTACAGGAGACGCCGGGCCAATCAGAATCGGAAACAAATGGTTGGGCCTACCCGGCCTGCCACTAATCGGGCTTTGAGAGGTTTTGATACCGTTACACCTACCAGGGCACTGGTACAGTACTCTAATAGCTCGGTTAAGCACTACATTAGTTGGTAGCAAATATCCTGGGATATCGACATACCTAGAGGGCGCCTTCAGCGGTTAACTTTAGACCTTGTGAGAGCTCCGGCCAGCAAGTAGATACCGTACTGTATTGCTGGGCTACTGGGCCGGCATCGCAGAGTCGGAATGATATAAAAGCTTCAGTTCGAATACCGAATCTCCTCTACCAGTAGTAGATGGGCCAGGATTCTCCACTGTTCCAGGTGTCAACTGCCGTTCCACGGGCAGACCTCTCGACTACCAAAAACATTCATCCTTGCCGTGTGAGTTAGCTTGTTGTAGCGCTCTGGTACTGTACTCTGTTATTACTCGAACAACCCTCCGTTAACCATCCACAACCTGTGGTAGTCTACCACCCCTCGGGCACCCTAACGCATCCGCCTTCGACCAATAATATGGTCTCCAAGGCTCCAAAGCACCCAAGCCCCGAATATCAAATCTCCTAACTAGTCCATTTGCTAGCAGAATGCCTAGGTTCCACGAATACCCTCCCCTCTCTTTTTTTTTTGTTGTTTCCCTAGATCCGCTTTGGATAATACGATGCATTTGGTACTGTACCTTCAACGTCCAGAGCTAGGAAAAATGTTGCCTCCATAATTCAGATTCTATTCTACTTTGTGTTTTACTATTACTAATTGTGCTCTGCTTGCCCCTGGGACAAGCTCTTGGGACGGTGTGGTTCCTGTATGATATTAGGGTCACTCGTGGGGTTTCTGGGGCAAACCCTACGCATAAAAGCACGGTAGCAGTCCGGTGACCCGTTACTTGGGCGGAGTGACTTGTGCTCTCCAGTTACACACCGGGGGCCCGAGAGATGAGCTCACCGAAAGCCAATGTGAACCTCGGTAGAGAATCCAAAATTTTGAAAAGGTATTCACTGGCTCAATTGTTGTTTCCTTTGATTTGGGGCTGCAATGCTTGGACTTCGGGCAATTCTTGTTCGGACGCACGATAGTATTGCTCTTGTGGCTCAGCTGGGATGACAGCTTCCATGAGTATATGTCGGATTAATACTGGTGGTGGCTTGATAATCGGGTAAGTGGCACAGTTCGTCCCATATGTTACGGCTCTAACAGTTGAGGTCCCGGGACCTGAGTTGGTATCATACGGGGACTCTTTCCCTCTCTAGATTGGTAGCTCGTTCCTTGGTATCTCCGGAGGTCCCATCGCCCTCTTATCAATTCTGGTGGAATAGGGGCAACGAAATGTATGAAAAACCTAGGCTCTAGTTACGCACTACTATGTTGCGAAAACGGAGATAGTGCCATATGTATGAGCTCCTTTAGCGTCTCCCTTAATGTTAATATCCGTTTGGATATGGGAGGCTATATCACCGGAGAAACTAGCCACAGGGAGTCTTGCTGGTTAGCACCATTGTACGAGTATAAAACCAATCCTCAAAGTAATATATTGGGGGCACTACTACACAAACTTCTTCTTGGTTAATTGGAGGGCTAGGCACAAATACCATGCCTCCGAGCTGTTTATTGATGACTTCATGGGGTCCTCCATTTTGGAATCGATAGAGATAGTGGGTTGTGGTTGGTCATGGAAGGCACGGGAAGTGCGCTGAAGGACAAAGTTGTTTATGGAAGTCATAAGAGAACGTTTCAGTGTTTGGAAGTATAATAGATTTGGCTGAAGGTTAGAAGAGGATTATAGAGATATGTCTTGCCTTTGTTATCACAGAAGTGGGCAGAGGAGCTTGGACATGTGTGGAATGATGGAGATGGGTGTAGTGATCCATAGAGGGATCAGGTTGTTTTGATGATGTTTTCCTTATACAGCTGTCATTACCGATCAGTTAGTGAGAGAGAGCACAGGACGAAGTACGCACCTTTCCCAGCTATCACACCACAGCAAGTCTCTGTACTATTCCGTTCCTTTACCACTCCGCATTCAAATAGCAACCTCTATCACAACACTCCTCACCACAGCTCACTCAATATTGCCACATTAACAATAAGTTGAGGTAACTAATCGAGAGAGTTCTTTCCATTTCTGGGAATTGCTTGGGTGGTCCCAGCCCCGAAGCAGTCTTTGTACAGTACTGAACTAATACGTTCTTAGGGTTTACTCAACATTGGCCCTTACACAGAATACAAATAGAGTCTCTAGAAGTAACCATCTGTAATGTATAAGCAGATAGTTTGAGACTTTTGTCACTTTAAAGCATTCTGATTGGCTGAGTTCCTGATCAGAAAATATGATATCATATTTCAAATGGTTGAATGATATGATAATATGGGTGCTGTTATGCAAAAAATGTACCAATCTCTCAACGCAACAAATATACTTCACTTCATATGAAACTTCTTGAGCATGTAGAGTACCCTCTAATAGTCTTAAAAAATATTTATCAAAGAAATTTGTACATCTATAGACTCACAATTAGATTTTTTCAGATTTTATACATTTCTCTTTTTTGCATACATAGGTAGCCTGAGTTTTCAGCTATCAGAAAAATATTTAAGAGCATTGTTTTAGTAGTAGAATTGACTGCTATAAAGAATTTTGTATTACTGGTTACATGTGAGAGTATGAAATATTTTTCTGTTTTATAATTTTTCTGTGGTTGCCATGTAAACTTGAAACTGTAATTATACAAAACCAGGTTTAAGGTGTCCAGCCCATTTTCGCATATCAACACCCATATATGAGAATTGACTTTACAAAGAGGTCAATGATGCAAGAACTTAAATATGATAAATGGCTTTACAAAAAGGTTAATGATTACATCATAATATTACTGGTGCTGAGGTTGTGACTAAGTGTCACAACCCCTAGTTGCTCGCAGGCTTGCAATCTGGACACTCCTCTAGAGTGCCTCTCAGCTCAACATAACTTGTGGCTCAACATAACTTTTTGTGGCTCAACACCACTTTTTATGTGGCTCAACACAGTTTTTCGTAGCTCAATATAACTTTTTTGTGGCTCAACACAACTTTTTTTGGAACTTAATATTACTAGCAATTTGTTTCTAGCTTGATTGGTTTTATTTAGAATTTTAAGCTAGAAAGATCCCTTCAAGTTCTATAACAACGTTCTTGAAAGCTATAAAGTTCTATTAAGCTACAGAATTCTACTATACTTTAAAGCAATATTCTGCTATAAGACTATATCTAGCTATCTAGCTTTCTTATACTACAATATTGTACTATAAAGCTCTGAAATTATATCAATCTACCAGTATTACAATTTTAAGCCATAAAAAAAGTTGTGTTGAGACACAAAAAAACAATATCAAGCCACATAAAAAGTTGTGTTGAGCTACAAAAAATTATGTTAAGCCACAAGTGATATTGAGCTGTCAAGTCATGTTGAGCTGGCAGGCACTCTAGAGGAGTGCCCAGGTCGCAAGCCAGTAAGCAAGCAGGGGTTGTGACACTTAGTTACAACCTTGGTACGAGTATGATACATGGATGCATTTAAGTGCAAAGGATAACAATTGCCAACCATCACAAAACTGGGTGAATGATCCTCAGGGTAGAGTATATGGTAGAGTATCTTCCTCTCTTCTTGAAAAATATTTAATTTCAAAATTTGAACAATGGTCAGTCTGTAATGATTATTTTTGAAATTATAGCAAAAGATTTTTTTTACATAGAATGATAGCTAACCTTAAGATCTACCTGTCTACAAGTTTTGAAATATTTTTAAGAATACAATGTGTTGTTATTAAAAAGTATAGTAAAATATCAATGCACATTGTATACTTTTCAGATATTATTAACCAGTTGTAAGAGAAGAAAATGTAAGTGTAAAGCAGTAGATCAAAGTTAACAATTCTATTACTTCTGCTTACTCAGCTATTATAACTTTTCTTAATATATATTAATTTTGAATTCTTAATTAAAATTCAAAATCTTTTACATAAAATTATAGAAATAAGAAGAAATATTATTTATCTTTTATTTTAATACTATTTACTTTATTGGTTGTTGAATTATATTGATTTTGTTGTCAAAACACATTTTCTCCTTTTTCTCAAAAAGGCTTTGGTGGCCATACAAACTAAAAGTACATATAACTCAAAACACGTAAAAAGTGATTGTAATCTTTTTCCTATAACAATACTCATATTAAAAAAAGAGGTCAATGATACTATAATACCACACTTGACTTTATACCAGTAGAGCTGTCAATAATATCATAATATATAATATAGTAAGTGTAACAGACAAGGTCTGAGGGTCGGGTAGCCCAAGGCACACCACGATCAGGACAGGCAGGAATCTGGAGACGAGGTCTAGGTGCGGGGGTACAACCGAAGCGAGTGGTACGAGGTTCGGGGTTCAGGAGTTCAGGGTCAGGGTCCAGGGGTTCAAGAGGACGCCAGATAGTAGAGAGTGTAATTCCTAGGTACAGGTGTCCAAATTCAATCTAACTTTATATTTATACTCGCGCGCGCCTTACAGGCTTATGCTACGAGCGATCGATCTCTCATACACCTACCATAAGGGCAGGCGGGCCTCCGGCGGACCACAAGCGGACCGGAACTGCCGTCGCAAGTCACAGCCTG